TATCTATAGTCTCCGGTGAGGAGAGCTTGGAATTATTTATTACAGCATATTAGATAAACCAAATATTAGACCAACTTAACTGTGGCTAAAAAATACCATTTTTCATGATGATGAATAGCATAGGCTAAACCAGGGTCTAAGGAGTCATTCTAGGCTCTGCTACTGTGACACTTGGCAAGGTGTCAAAACAGGCTACCTTCAACTTTATCTTCTACATCTATCCAAATCAAGATACTACAATTTGATATGCAGCTCCTGCAATTTTTACCAGGATTCCAAATATAACAATAGGAGCTCTGGTAGCGTAGAGCCTAAGGCACTTGACTGCTAACCAGGAGACTAGTGGTTCAAATCCACCAGCCACTCCTCAGAAGGAAGGTTGGGCATCTACTTCCGGTAGTGACACTGCCTCAGAAACCCAAGGAGGGGTCGCTATGAGTCGGGTCCGACTCGACGGCATACAACAACAAATATAACAATTAATTCATATTGGCTGTGTATCTTTCATATCATTGAAGTATGTGTTGACGTAGGTTAAAGAAAGGATTCAACAAAATAAGCATATGGAGGCATTTACCAACTAATATGGAAAGTACTCAATAAACTTGCCTCTTCTTCCTTTCTTAGAGGCTGAAGCTAAGTAAATCCAGGTTATGGTTTGGGGCAAATTGACTATTTCCATAGCCAGTGAATACACCTATGTTGTTGTTAGGTGACATCAAGGTGGTTCTGACTCATAGTGACCAAATGTACAACAGAACAAAATACTGTCTAGTCCTGTGCCATCCTCACAATTGCTGCTATGTTAAAGCCCCTTGTTGCAGTGATTAATATCAGTCCATCTCATTGAGGGTTGTGATGGTTATGTTTGTATGCCAATTTGGCTATGCCTGGTTGAGTGGCTGGGCAGCTGGATGTAGTATTCCCCATGATGAGACCAGTAATCAACTCCATGGTGGAATCTACTGGAAGCAGCTGAGTAGCTGCCTTTGGGTATGTGGTCTGCTTCCTGTATATAAAGAGATGCCTTTGGGAATGCTTTCTAGCCTTTGGTATGCTTGGACCCTGCATGTAGCCGTGTCATTGCTCAGCAGCCTGCTATGCTCTGCTGACCTTGGGACATACAGTGGACTTAAGTTAATGGCCTGCCGTGTGGATTGGTAACGTCGGGACTGTGCCTTTTTACTTGTCAACCTTGGGGCTTCTCAGCCTTAGCAGCCAGCAGCTGTCTGAGTGAAGAAACGCCTCTAGCTCCAGTGGGCTGGGAGCAGGAGGCAGAGCTGGACCCCAGGTTGAGGGGCTTTCACCCAGCCCCTAAAGCCTGGCACTTTGAACTTAGACTTAAAGCTCCAAATTGTTAAGAATAAACTCCTGTTTGTTAAGGCCATCCTACTTGTGGTGTATATTCCTGTCAGAGCGGCACTAGGTAACCAGAACAAGGATCTTCCTCTCTTTTTTGCTGACCACCTACTTTACACCAAGCATGATGTCCCTTTCCAGGGATCAGCCCCTCCTGATAATACATCCAAGGTATGTGAGATGAAGTCTTGCGATCCTTGCTTATACTACTTCTGAGATAGATTTGTTTGCTCTTCTGGCAGTCTCTGTATATTCAACGTTATTTGTCAATACCATAATTAAAAGGCATCAGTTTTTCTTTAGTCTTCCTTATTCATTGTCCAGTTTTGACACACATGAAGCTACTGAAAATACTATGGCTTGGGTTAGGCTCATCTTAGTCTTCAACATTGACACCTTTACTCCTTAACACTTTTTAAAGAGATCTTTTGCAGCAGATTTGTCCAGTGAAATACGGTATTTGATTTCCTGATTGCTACTTCCATGGATGATTGTTCTGGTTACCTAGTGCTGCTCTGACAAGAATATATATACCACAAATAGGATGGCCTTAACAAACACGAGTTTATTCTTACAATTTGGAGGCTTTAAGTCCAAGTTCAAAGTGCCAGGCTCTAGGTGCTGGGTGAAAGCCCTCATCCAGCTCTGCCTCCTGCTCCCAGCCCACTGGAGCTAGAGGCATTTCTTCACTCAGACAGCTGCTGGCTGCTGAGGCTGAAAATCCTAAGGTTGACAAGTAAAAAGGCACAGTCCTGATGTTACCAAACCACACGGCAGGCCATTAATCAAGTCCATTGTAAGTCCCAAGGTCGGCAGAGCATGGCAGGCTACTCAAGAAAGACATGGCTACATGCAGGGTCCAAGCGTGCCAGAGACTGGAGACCATTCTCAAGGCTTCTTCTTAAATACAGGAAGCAGACCACATACCCAAAGCAGCTACTCAGCGGCTCGTGGTAGATCCCACCATGGAGTTAATTGCCAGTCTCATTATGGGGAATAAATACCACCAGCTGCCCAGTCACTCAACTGGGCCCAGCCAAGTTGACACACAAACTTAACTACCACAGTGATGATTGTGGATCCAAATAAAATGAAATCCCTGACAACCTCAATCTTTTCATCATTTATTGTGATGTTGCCTGTTGGTCCAGTTGTGAGGATTTTTGTTTTCTTTATGTTGATGTGTAATCCATAGTGAATGCTGTAGTCTCTGATCTTCATCAGTAAGTGTTTCAAGTCATCTTCACTTTCAGCAAACAAGGCATCAAAAACTCACTGTTAATTAGTTTTTCTTCAATCCTGATGCCATGTTGTTCTTCATATAGACCAGCTTTTCAAATTATGTGTTCAGCACAAAGACTGAATTAGTATGGTGAAAGGATACAACCATGACACACACCCTTCCTATTTTTAAACCATGCAGTATCTCCTTGTTCTGTTCAAATGACAGCCTCTTGGTCTGGTACAGGTTACTCAGGAGCACAGTGAAAAATTACAGAATTGCCACTCTTTGAAATGTTATCCATTATTTGTTATGATACACATGTCAAATGCCTTTGCATAGTCAATAAAACACAGGTAAACACCTTTCTGATATTCTTTGCTTTCAGCCAAGATCCATCTGACATCAGTAATGACATCTCTTGTTCCATGCCCTCTTCTGAGTCTAGCTTGAGTTCCCTGTCAACATACTGGTGCGATGGTTTTTGAATTTTATTGTCAGCAAATGTTACGTGCATGTGATAATACACTTTTGTTGTTGTTATGTGCTGCTGAGTTGGACCCGACTCATAGCGACCCCTTCTTGGGTTACCGAGGCAGTATCACTACGGAAGTAGATTGCCCCATCTTCCTTCCGAGGAGTGGCTGGTGGGTTTGAACTGCCAGCCTTCTGGTTAGCAGTCAAGTGCCTTAGCCACTATGCTACTTAGTCTTCTAAAAAATATCTCACAATTTCTTGTTACTGGTTGTAAGGAAAAGCTAATGAGAGAGTTGATGTGTTGTAAATACATGTATATGGATGTGTCTATATGTGTACATGCACGAAACATCTCAATACATTGTTCAGAGCAACTAAGCCGTTCCACTGAGGTGGACTGGAATGCCTTCTCTGGACATGAGAGAAGGAATACTGCTTGGCCAGCCCTAAGGTGCATCTAAGGCAAATAAGCTCCTTGGTCATGAGCAGCTTCCAAACTAGCAAGTGTTGCTTAGTATGCTTCTCATGCCTTCCTTTAAGAATTTTTGATCAAATTCTCTAATCTTGACATTGCTCACTACTCAAATAATTTCATTTAGAGGATCAGCATAATGCTGGTCCCTATGAGAGAGGGAGGTTAAGGATGTTCCAAATGTCCAAATTTTCTACACTGTTGTACCACTCCATCATCTCTAACATCAACTCCTCCTCCTCCCCTCATTATTCTCCCTCCTGTCTTAAGTTTCATATTTCACTATAATGTCTCACAGAATTCACAGACTTCTCAGGGAATGGCTCACATGGTGATGGAGGCTGGGAGACTGGCAAGACCCAAATCCATGGGTAGGTCTGGTGGATTCTCCTTACTCTCATGATTGCCAGGGCTGGCAAACCTGAATCAGTAAATCAGATTACCAGCTGCTGTCTTAGGCCCAAGGGTGAGATGATGACAAACCAAATGCAGGACTGGAGCCAAGAGAATGAACTCCCAGTATATATATATATATATATATATATATATATATATATATATATATATATATATATATATATGAAACTAAGGGTGGTGACTTGAGTCACACCTTCCAGCAAGGTGGTACTCAAGATACATCCCACTCTGAACAGGCACAGAGACTAGAATTTACAATACATCACAAAATAGATGAGTATGGCTAGAGGGCTATATGAAGCAATTTACTCTACTGCACTCACCCAAAGATAGCTTATTCATAGCCCCTCCCTAAACACTTCTTCTTTTTTAAAATATCTTATTATGTTTTAGGTTAAAGTTTACACAGCAAATTAGATTCTCCTTGAATAATTTTTATATAAATTGCTCCATGCTATTGGTAACAACTTTTACAATATGTCATCATTCTCATTATTTCCATTCTGTTTGTTCTGTTTCCATTGATCTAGCTTCCCTTTCCCTCCCTGCCTTTCCATCTTTGTTTTTGGGTACATAATGACCATTTGGTGGCATATTAACTGTTTAAGAAAACACATTATCCACAGGTGGTATTGTTTATCTTATAAGTCAATCTATTATTCGGCTGAAAGGTGACCTGCAGAAACAGCTTCAATTCCAAGTTCAAATGGTATCCTAGGGTTAGTCTTGTGACCTCTACTCTCTGTCAGTCTAATACTTCTAGTCTTTTGCAGGACTTTTAAGTTTTTTTCTACATATTTCTCCTATGCAAACAAGAGCCTCTACTGTGCCCTCAGTCAGAGGGTAGTGGTAGCTGGGCACCATCTAGTTCTTCTGGTCTCATGTTACAAAAGGCTGTGGTTCATGTGGGCTATTAGTCCTGTTGACTAGTTTCTTCTTTGAGCCTTTGATTTAGAAAACAAAGATGCATTAGAAGAAATCTAGGGAGACGAGAATAAAAGGGAGGCATGACATGGATCAGGAACGCTTAGACACAGAAGAAGTGATATCTACCTGCAGAGCCAGCCTTACAATGCTGGATGTGTAGGTCAGCATGCCATGCAGAATATCCAGGAGGGAAAACAGCAGTGCAGCAGCTGTCTCATTGTTGCTTTTATTGTCCACATCCAAGCACAGTGTTGCAGTTTCAGTTAACAGGTTACAGATATGACTGACAAGTCCTAAGGCAAAAAAATATTAATTAATATTATAAACAATAATGTGCCATATAAACCAAGCAGAACAGGCATTCTTGCACAATGGTGCACATGCTCTAAGCAGTCCTTGAACATGACTCTGTACCAGATTCACTTGGGAAAGTTTTTTAAAATGTGGGTTTCCAGGGATGGGACTATGGGATGCGACTGGGGTATATATTTGTTACCCAGTCTCCACAGGTGATTCCAAAACTCTACTTTTAGAAATATTATGCTATGTGAGTGGACTTCACAGGGTCTGAAGACTCAATGATACTGAGGGAAAGAAAATATGTTGTATATAAACATACTGTCTCCAGGTTCATTTCAAAACATTTGAAATGTAAGATTAATTATGATTTTAAGAAGTCAGTTGAAGTTTAAAAATCACCAAATTCTATCATTTTGTCTCTGCATATCTCTTATTAGCAGTGTGATTAGTCTTTACCAACACTGAGTTTGGTGCAGTTTGTCACAACAAATAATTTTTCACATTTTGGGGGAATTATGCACTCAACTAGTAACTGAAAGGTTGGTAGTTCGAGCCTACCCAGTTTTATCTTGGGAGACAAGCCTGGCAATCTGCTTCCAAAAGGTCACAACCTTGAAATCCCTATGGAGCAGTTCTACTCTGGACACATGGAGTCACTATGAATCAGAATCGATTCAACAGCAACTAACAACAACAAAAACACTGCATACATTTAAGTTGAAATTTTAATCATTATAATATAAATGTATTATGCCATAGTGCAGCATTGCATTTTGCATTCACAAAAATGAATCATATGTAACTGTAAAAATACAGCATGGAATAATGTTATAAATCTAGGTGGTCAATCAGACCTTGAGTATTAATTGAAATGGTCTTTAAAAAAAAAAAAGGATTGTTAAAGACATGTATTTTACACAAGCAATGGAGGGGGTAAAACACACATGGTAAGGTAGCACAATGTGTATTTAAAACTGAATTTTATTGGACCAACAATTCAGTGCAGGTCTCCACATCATCAACTGCATGGAAAATCATCCAAGCACAGCCATTAAAGCATTGGCACCTCTTTCAAACAAT